CTGGGTCTATCTCCGTTTCTACCAGCGGCACAGTAGAGGCCGCGGAGACATGTCCGACCACTTCGCCTTCGCCACTTTCTTCCCCGAGATCCTGCAGCCCGTGGTGGGTCTGGTGGCCAACCTGGTGCACAGCATCCTGGTGAAGGTGAAGGTCTGCCGCAAGACGGTCAAACGCTATGACGTGGGCGCCCCATCGTCCATCACCATCAGCCTGCCGGGGACAGACCCCCAGGACGCCGAGAGGAGAAGGTACCGCTTGCCCTGCTCCTGTGGGGATCACGTTTATGGGTGGCAAGGGTCGGGTTTAAAATCCAAACGAGGAGGAGTGGGGAGGTTTGGGTGCTGGGTGCTAAGGGGGGGGCCATCTCCAGGGGGTCTGCTGGGGGTGCCCTCCCTGCCACAGAGATGGGGAGGACATTTCGGGGGGGCTGGTGGGACGTTGCCCCGCTCTTCCAAATGCGGAGCGGCAGTGGAAATGGAGACAAGGAGCAGGAAGATCTTGGGGAGGGGCAGGCGGGGTTAGGGGGACAGCGGCTGCCAGGGGGGGTGCCCCTTGCTTGTGGCAGCCCTGCACCCATTCATCCTGGCGCAGGGGAAGGTGGTGAGTCAGCCCCGTGCCCCAGCCTTCCTGCACGCCCGGCATTGGCCTTCCCGACTCCCAGCAGAAAAGTTTGGACAAGGCGTTGGCGCTCCACTTTCCCCTGCCCCGTTTTACGCCTTTCTTCTGCCGTTCCTGGAGCAGCCCGCGTACTGTCTGACAGCCTCTGAGTGCACCACGTGGCACGAAAACTGCCTGTGGTCTGGGAGCGTGAGTGGGTTTCTCTGGGGCAGTCCCAGGCACTCCGGGTCATCTCTGGCGCTGCTGAATCCACCCTCTCTTGCCGGGAAGAAGCCAGGGATGGGCTTGCACAGTGCGCTGTGGGGCAGAGCTGTTAACTGCTGCCCTGCCCATGGGACCCAGGGTTAACCCGCCCGTCTGCCCTTGTCCCGCAGGCAGCTGGCCCTGAAGGCCCTGAATGAGCGGCTGAAGCGCGTAGAAGACCAGTCGGCCTGGCCTAGCATGGAGGACGACGAGGAGGAGGTGGCAGCGAAGGCTGACAGCCCGCTGCTGCCCGACCCCGGTGCGGCCAGCAAGGGCGCCAGCCAGGAGTCCAACCTCATCACCTTCCAGGATGCCCCATCCCAGCTGTGACCAGCCGACACACCGCCCCCCTTCCCCACCCCATCTCCATCGGAGAGCTGCTAACCCCCCTCATGTCCCCCGCCACAGCCGGGATGCTCAGTGGGGAGCGGGGACTCCTCCCGCGGCAGAGGCAGGGGGGCTACCTCATTCCAATGCTTTGTTGCCGCTCATGGCCAGCACCAGGCACCCAGGACGCCGTCACCGCAAGGATGGGGGTTCTTCAAGCCACTCCCCTTGGCGCAGGGCAGGTCATGGACGTCGGCACCGGCAGCTGTTCTGGGAGGGGGACGTGGGGCTGATCCCTGCCCCGAGGCCACTGCGCTTGCCCACGCGGGAGCAAAGTCAGCAGCGCTTCCTCACTTCTCCTCTGCGCTGGGGGTTGCCCAGAGCGCTCAACACTTACTTCCTCCTTTCTGAAGGTAGTTTTGTCCCTAACCGAGCGAACGGGAAAGCTGGCGGGTTTCTTTTCTGAATCCCTTTCCCGTGGGGAGCCTCCTCCCGCCCTGGCAGGAGCTCTCCGTGACCGGTGAGAGGTTTGCCACACAGGGGGGAGAGGCTGCTGGGCAGGAGGGGGCCACCCAGCCCCTCATGGCGGTGGTCTGACACCGCCAGCTCTGGGCTTTGCGCATGGGGGGGTTCTCTCCTCCTCCCTCTCTCGCCCCTGAAGCCAGCCCTGCAAGGAGCCGGTGTCCTTGGCCGCTCCCTGCCTAATCTGTTTGTCAGATTACACTAGAAGCTGTAATTAATTTCTATGGTGGAGCTCTCGCCGCTTCCTCCGGCAGCAGGTTTTCTATCCTGCAGGTAGAATACGGGCTCCCCCTTCTCTTTTCCCTCCCTCTGTGTTGATGGGCTTTTTTGTTTTCTGGATGGAGAGGATGCTCCCTGCAACAGCCTTCTCGCAGCTCCTGATCCCCTGGGCAGTCCCTGGCCTGGGACACGGGTCGATGGTGTTGTGATTATTTTTTTAAAGGACCACACGAGAAGGTTTTGTCAACTGGGAAAAACAGACGTTTCAGTATCAATAAAGAGTTCTTTGAAAGAGTCGGCTCCCGCAGCAGAGGGCGAGGGGCTGGGCACAGGGCAGCCCCCAGGGGCTCTTGCACAGGAGCCTGGGGCGGGGGGGGGTTTCTTCCCGAGAGTTCCCAGCAGGTTGGGAGAGACCCTTTGCAAGCAGGAGGTGGGAAATCTGCGGGGGGGTGGGGGGGTCTGCCTGCACCCCAAAAGCCCCCCACCCCAGGCAGTAAAGAGGGCTTGTTGCACTGTAGCTGCCTGAAATCTTTATTGAATAAAAGCTCTGGATACAGAGGAATTTCCCAGCCCAGGAGCTGCTCCCAGCTCTCCAGCCCTGCTGAGAGCAGGATACCTGCCACGGAGGAGCCATGGGGCTGCTGCGGCAGAGGGAGCCTCACAGTGCCCAGCTGCCCTGACAGTGGGTGGGCTGGAAGGAAGGTATTGTGCCAGTGAGGCGAGAAGGTTCCTTTCTGCCTTCCCAAGGACTCATCCCCCAGGCCTGCACCGAGCCCTGCTCCTCCTGTGCTCGCGCTGTCCCCTGTGCCCCGCAGAGGGACAAAACAGGCTTTTGCAGGCTGCCGGTTTGTGGCCCAGCTCGCTAATTTGCTCTGTGAAATGACCCCCACCTCCTGACAGGCTGAAGCTTCGCTGTCCCAGCCTGCGGGAAGGATTTGTGCGTGGCGGTGGGTGCCCAGATCTGCGGCCGTCGGGCAGGGCTGACCATGCCAGTCCCAGGGAGCCCCCGGGTCCCTGCGCGGGGCTGTGCCGTGGGGACGGGAGTGCCACTGTCCCATTGCGTCCTCTTTGGGTGCTGCCACCCTGCTTCAGCCCTTCCCTGGCTGAAGCCACAACCATACCCTGCGTTTTTACTGGCCGAGCTGCCTTCGTGGCAGGAGAGGCAGTGCAGTGCCCGCTGCAGCCTCCCGGGCGAGCAGGGACTCCCTGCCCTCCTCACCAGGAATGTGTCAGCTCCTGTCCTGCCTGCTCCGAAGCAGCCCTGGGTAGTAGGGGAAGGGAAAAGGAGCAGGAATCCTGAGTTAACCCTCCGGTTCCCAGCACTGAGCACCAAGCTGCCGTGGGGACCAGCAGCTTTACCTGTGCTGGGAAACATCCCCACCTTGGCAGGCATGAGGCAGGCAGCTCCTGCCCGCTCGGCATCACGCACATCATAGCTGCTCCCCGGGGACAAGACACTACAGACAATCCAGGACTAACAAGAGATGAGTAGGTAGAAACCGAGTTCCGAGGAGACCCTACGCGAGCCAGGGGGCTGCGAGGGGGAGCCCTGGCCTCGCTGGCTTGCGCAGGGGAAGTTCAGATCTACGCCAGGCCCTCAGTGCTGGCTCCGCTTGCGGTACAGGTAAGCGTTGCTCACCTGGTTCATGATAACCAGGCTGGTGAGAAGGGGACACAGCATGGCGAGGTACCAGGAGACGCCGGTCACCGAGGCGGTGAACCACAGGGAGCACATGCCCAGCATCAGGCTGGCACAGCCCAGCAGGTAGCCCACCAGCCCCGAGGTTGCGTGGTACAGCTTGAGCTTGGCCAGCGTCCAGTTCTTCATCAGCTTGGGGTAGAGCAGCAGCAGCCCCCCCGCGCACTGCCCGCCAGCGTACAGCACGGTCAGCAGCCCCGTCAGGCCGTGCCAGGTGACGAAGTGGGCTTTGCCGTTCAGGTGCTTGTTGTAGGCGATGAGGCCCAGCCCCAGAAGGGCGCAGAGGAGGGCCAGCAGCTGGAGGGCCCAGTGCACCCGCACTTTGACTTTGCGGGAGAAGTTGCGGAGCAGCGAGATCTCCGGGGAGAATATCAGCAGGGCTTCCGTCATCAGGAACGAGAACTGGGAGACAGAGGGCGGGGGGGGGGATTGGCACCGGCCGCCCCCACCCCTCCGCCGCGGCCGGGGACGGAACAGCCAGCGGGTCGGCGTCTCCCGGGGCTCAGCCTCCCGCCACCCGCGGGAAGCGGAGGGGCCTCATCCTCTGCGCCGGGCGCTCTCCGCCAGCTG